GTGGCCAGCCGCAGCCCGACAGTTTCACCCCTCTGTCTTATTCTGGTGGGCAGGGATGGCAGCTGAGTGCATTTTAGACTTTAGTGCTGGTACGATAGAACAAAACAAAGCAAATTCAAACCCAAAAAGGCAGATGTCAGGATCTAAACCCACTCCTGCTCACTTTTAGGAATACAGTTTTGTTGCTCTCAGAGTCAAGGAGAGAAAAAAACCAGAAGAGATTTCAACAGAAGCCCCGTGAAGGAATTCTGTCAGCTACTCGAACCGTCACTGCACACTTCTGCTCACCCACACGCCCATTCGACACCAATTCTCTAACACCAGTATCAGAGGCCAACGCTAACACAACTCCCAGTTCTTCAGGACTTGGATTCTTCACACCACGAACGACAACAGCAACCAGTTAAACTGGGTCCAACCGTTTCACTTGACCCTCACTCCAGTGCAAGCTTTCCTTACGCCGGCCATCAAGCTACAGATATCACTGGTTTTACCCCGATTCCTCCAGCACTCCTTTGCAATCGCAGCGTATTTGCAGCCTCTTCACAAACCTCTATGTTTTCGGAATTCTTTGAGTTGAATTCCAAAATTTTGAATTTCAATTTTGTATTGAATGCAATAGTTTTCAATTACAGGTTTCACCCTCTCTCAGGCCCTCATTGCAATAGTGGTACTGAGCTCTCTGCCCTCTTGAGCCAGGCAGTGCCACTGAGAAAAAAGGTGTAAAACAGCAGCCAAGATGTTTCTCGGCAGCAACAGGCATCAGAAGCGTGGCTCACCTGAGAGCTGGAACATTCACAGTCATTAGCGACATTCCGCAGCCAGGGGCGTGGTACACACAGTATAGTTTTAAGTGACTGAAAACCCCCTTTTTTTGTATGTACCAAAATCAGAAGTGTTTGTATTGGTTCCTAAGGTCAGGGATGGTTTCCTACCAAAGAGTCCGCCGCCAGTGGTCGTGCCGAAGGAGGGAGCACTGGTCGTGGTGGTTCCGAATCCTGCCGGCTTGTTCCCAAACAGAGTCTGAAAGGAAGAAAACAAGAATTTGGACACCTGTTGGACTGACATGAAAAGAACTGCAGCAGTGTTTTGCTGTAGCTGAGAAAGCAGAACTAACGCCGAGCACGACTTGGCCCACACCACCCAGACTCCCAACAGGGGTGGGTTATTCGCAAGGCACCCG